GTTTTTTTAATGAAGGACCATTTAGTTATATATATTAAATTTATGTGAAATCTTTACAAATGAATACAAATACTATTATATAATCTTTTAAAGTTTTATGCACATATGACCTACTGTTAATAGTTTGATATTTAAACTTTACTATTGACATTTTAAAGACTAATTTATATTCAGAAACAAAAAAGAAAATCTCTCTAGAATAGAGTTATTGCCTTTTAGAATTCTACCATATTAATGTATTATTTATTTTATCCTAAAGTCATAGTTTTTAAATATAAATATTTGATTGGTTTAATTATATCGACTAACATATGAGAATAATATTCATGCAGTTATCTGGATAAATAATTGCTTTAAATTATATTGTATAAATTTATTATATTAATTTAAAATTATTTTTTATTTTATAAATATGTTATAAATAAATATATAATAATTAATTTATAATATTTAATTTAATAAGATTAATAACTTAATTTATTAGTATATTTATAAAATTATAATAATTAAATTGTGTTAAATTTTAAAAAGAATATTATATAATAATAAAATTATTTTAATTAGATAAACATATTTCATCGAAATTTTGGTATAATTTTTTGTTATTTAAAAAGTTTTTGATTGTCTTCTGCAGTTCCCAATGTACAGTTATCCTTCATATATTATATTTTACATTATAAAATAATTTGAAAGTATAATAAATTTTAGACACACAAAGGTTGTAATATCCAATTAATTTTAATATAATTTATAAATATAATTCTTTAATTTTTAAATTTTAATTTAATTTAAAAATAAAGAAAAATAATTGGATGACGAAATTAAAAACAATTTGAAAAAAAAAGTGAAAATTTGGGTTCTTGTGGTATTTTTGAAAGAAAAATCGAAAAATAAGGAATCAAAACTCAATTCAAGAAAATTGCGCCATGTAGGATGCTCAGTCAGCAGCTCCAACGAACCGGAGCGCGCCACGTGGCAAGGGATGCTGACGCAGTGCCATGCTGGCAATCTGCGTGCTCCGATCGAACAGTCCAGATTCGCTTACGCGCGCACAGACGGCCTGAATACGTTCCCTCCCCAAACTCAATCGAATGGTCAAATTTAAACGCGATCAACGATGCAGATCTACTTCCTATTTAAACGCGATCAAATGGTCCAGATCAGATCGCGATGAACAGTCCAAATTCACTCCCTATTTAATCGTGATCGGATGATCCATATCAAATACGATGGACGGTTCAGATTAAAATGGGACGAATATTAATAACCCTCTTCACACCAAACTCTAACCCTAGCCGCCAAATCCCCCCGCCAAAGAAGAATACCCAACCGTCGGGAAGGAAGCCGTCGCCACCCACCACCGCGCTGGAGTCACTTCCGACCGCCAAAAGAGGTAAAAAAAATTTCTTTTACTCGAAATTCAATTTTAAACATCCTCATGACCAAATTAAAGTAAAAGAACTGGTGGATTGGCCGAAAATTGTGGGCAAAGCCTGGTGGCGCTGCCGTAGGGAAATACAAAAAATACCTCCGATGAGGCCCTTCCCGATTTCCATTATGTATAATTTTTTCACCATTGTAATCATCATTCTCTTCTCTACAGGTTGACCGAAGCAAAATACCCAATCGCGAAGGTGAGCCGGCGGAGCTGCCACAACGGAGAACTCCGCCGCCGGTAAGTTTTGATTTCTCATTTTTTTCGGCCAACCAAGGTCCCTTAACGTGTTTTCTCACAGGGATTGATACAAACCTGTCGAAAACAGTCGACCCACGATGACAGTGCCGACACCGTGCATAAATTTTGGAATTGGCCAAAATGGGTCCTAACACTGATTTTGGATTTTTTGGAATATTTTTAGGTACTTGAAGTGCATTTTAATCCCAGAGAAAAATTCAGGAACCTGGGGACTGCTA